GGAAATATTTTGAAAATGGAATCATATTGAGACATAAGCTCGCCCAAGACCCGAATTGGAGCTTCAGAAATATACCCTGTATTTACAAATGCCAGATCAGAGAAAAATAGAGTATTGGTGCCATATCTAGGCTTGCCTATCTTTATAGAGTTCAAAAGCGTTTTAACGGCCTTGTGGGTGATGAATCATTTTCCATCCTAGAACCGCTAACCTCCGTCGAAAAGTCACATTCCTTTCACTACTCTATTGCTATATTCATGACAAATGTTTTGACCATCTAAATTCTTTGTTCCACCAGTTCTGATTTTTGTAGCTAAGATCCACCATACCGCTTACACAGGGATGAATCATCCGTGTTTTCTTCATATTCCATTAGTAAGGAGGAAGTTTCATTCTCAAAGGTTCTTTCTAAGAGTTAATGCTTTGTGATACATACCACAGAGAGGATGCTTTCCCCATCACTAAAATGTTACCCTCTTCTAGTCTAGGGTTAAATCTTATATTTCTTACATAACACCATAAATCGCACTTAACTCTTCTTCTTACACACATGTAACATCATTCAATAACCATCTACCTTGAGTAGCGCTTGAGTCTAGCACTCGGTGAACAGTATTAAATATATCTTATACTTAGAATCAGAAACTGCTGAAATATTTAAAGGGGAAAGAAGGCTTAGATAATTTGACACTCACAGGAGATTCTAAGAGCAAGAATGACTACCTTACGAACTTACATAAATGAATTCAGATTTCTTCCTACTCCAAATGATAGGACGTTGGGAGAGCCATGATTGTCTAGGTACTAAAAGAAGACGACATAAAAGAAGGTAGTAGAACACTTACGACTGAGTAGAGAGTTAAATCCTAACGGGATGTTCCATACTTTCGATCATATACCCAAGAAATTTCTAAGCGATAATCACGGGTACGTCGACGTGTTTTAATGGTCAGCGAGCTTGTCTCGCTTGATCTATTACGACTGAGTAGTGATACCGACTATCACAGGTTACCCCATACTTTCGGCCTTGTGTCACATCTGAACTATGCTTAGAAAATCAGAAGGTACTAATTTTATACAATATCTATACAGTTCTAAGGAACTGATTTTATTGTGGAAATGAGAATACCATCTCTTTAGACGCAGCATGTTCGACTTCTGAGTAAACATATTCTTCTTCTATGGCTGTTTTCAGGTTACTGGGATTTTATGTCGTCATTGTTGCAATCACACGCCAAAGTTTCTCTTGGGGATATTGCGTATTATCTGCTTTTGCGTCATTGATATGTTTTTATACTCTACAACCAGGAATCTGACGGCGTTTTAGTGGTTCATTCTTGCAAGATATCAACGTCCACATTTCGGGGATGAGTAGCAACAATTTTATTGACGAGAGCATCACCCAAATGAATGTATCCAAAATTAGAGATTCGTAATAATATATGTAAGAGTACTCGACTAATTATCATAAAAGTAAGCCCTCAAGAAAACTACAATCTATTTGGAGACTGTTTTGTTCGTACTTACTATTGTGAGACCGTAACATACCTACAACATGGACTCTTCTAGGACTATATAAAGTATGCGATATAACATTCTAAGAGAAGAGGAGGAAAGAGAGAGAGAGTATTCTAATACCGTAGTATCAGCCGCGTACGACTACCAATATTGGACACTAGCACATAGTAAGGTCTGCTCACACTTACACTATATTTGTAACCTTTTTGTTTAATATATCTTTCTTACCTCCAATCCGTGTTCCGTGTTTTCCTTCCGGGGTCCCAACTTTGGGTCCACATCACTTACAAACGGTGTTTGCATTCTCAGAACACTAAATAAGAAAATTCTCTTCATACACTTGTCCGCTGATGTGAAATGTAGGCGTGTCATTGAATGTCACTCAGATGTAAACGTTAAGTTCTAGAATTTTAATTTGCAGTAGCGTATTGCAAGATTCGGGAGCAGCAGTTGTGTTTGCATGCGACAAACTATATATAATCAGCGGATGATAGGGTTGCATTTCTAAGTAATTATTTAATATTCCCCACACAGTTATCTGCGGAGGAAAACCTGCGTTGCATCGTCTGCTTTTTATGGGAATGCCTACAAATGTTTCCCGCGCATGAGAAATGGGTACATGCGATTAGCACATTTGACGTCGCCTACTGTTTCCTTTCTAATCAATGGAGACAGTTTGCACAAACTTCTGATAAATGCGATACATGAAAGCAGAGGGTCGATTGAAATATTTTTCCTATTTGCTGCGAAATGAACGTGTGACTGGAAGACGTCCATCTTGGGACTATCTTTCTTATTCATTTCTAACACAATCCTGTTAGTCTTGGAGACGAGGATAAAAATTTTCAAAATTTCTACGTGTACACACACACACACAGACACACACACAGACACACACACACACACACACACACACACACACACACACACATATATATATATATATATATATATATATATATTTATATTATACAGCAAAAAATCCAATATTACCTCATGTGCGTATGGCCTATTTCAGACCAGCACTGCTTTCTACCGGTCCTTCTCAGCCCTAGACTGACTGTCTCGGAATAGGGTTTTATATATATATATATATATATATATATATATATATATATATATATCCTCTCATATACACGGAGCAATTTATTAGTGTTGTTATTAAACGGATTAAGAAAAGACACCGTAGTTTTGGTCATTTCTTTTATTAAAAAATACATTTTTTTAAATTGCAGAATGAGTATTTTAAACATTAATAATATATAAAATACAAATTAAGTTACCTCCCTTTCATATTCGTAGCAGTTTATTTTAAAATAAACTCTAACAGACCACGTTTCATGCGCATTTACAAAAGAAATTCACAACTATCAATTCCATTAATTTTTTTAATAGAACTTCAACCCTGAAGATTATTTTGGATGAGATTGGGAATTACTTGAGAAAGTAAAAGGTATGCCGAAAACTACAGTGTCTTTCTTAATCAGTTTAATAACAGCACTAAGAAATTGATCCGTGAATTTGAGAGGATTAAAATAAAAACAAATAGATATGTGTCTAGATTATTCAACGAAACATGCTTCTATGAATATATATATATATATATATATATATATATATATATATATATATATATATATATATATATATGATAGGATAAAAGAAGTGGGAATCTTATAATTTTTTTATTAAAGCTTCATTCCACGTGGCACGTATCTAACTTATAACCAATAAGAAACAGACAAAAACAACATTAATACTAAATATGCCATGTTTCTAAGCTTTTTATCATTTCTACATTTCTGCCTTGATCTCTGACGAAGCTTTAATAAAGTGAAACATGTTAGATTGAGATCTGTTTCCTACTTGTTCTTTAATCTATTATTTTGTCGGATTCCTATCCATACTCTGTGTGTATATATATATATATATATATATATATATATATATATATATATATATATGTTGGGGGAAATGCATTTAAATTTTTTACTTTACTCACTTGATTATTTCAAAACAAAAAAAGCTAAAACTTGAAGGAGGAATTTAGTCTATAAACTGTAATGATTGCCACAAGGAATAAATAGGAGAAACTTCAAGGAATGTAGATAAAACATTATATGAAAGCAAAATGTATCTTTTGCAAAACAATTCACTCTGAATGAGTGTATGCATAATTTCGATTTAATTTTATTATAAGATAAAAATATTTACTAAGACGAAAGTATGTAGAAACAATTTTAAAGTTCTTACAACATTAACTCTTCCTTGGTGAATCTTCTATTATCCAAAAATAATGATAAGAAAAGTGATAAAAATATAAAGAAAAAGTAAATAAATGAAGTTGGCTGGATTATACACCCAAACACATTAGAAAAACGATGAAAAAAATGCAGGATGCCTCTATTTTGTGCGCATGTGTCGTTACCATAACGTCAATATTACTCTAGTCAGATGAAAAGGATGCAACACGTTACACAAAAACTGTTTCCACTGTCATTAATTTTCATAATATATACGTCTCTCTCTCTCTCTCTGTCTCTCTCTCTCTCTCTCTATATATATATATATATATATATATGTGTGTGTGTGTGTGTGTGTGTGTGTGTGTGTGTGTGTGTGTGTGTAAATAAAAAAGAAAGAACAGTAAGATATATAATCCGGTGTTCTTATAGATATTTTTATTTTTACAAAATAGTGCTCAATGTAAATTTACAGAGCATTAATATTATAAACTGATTTACTTAAAATATGTTTTTTTTTCGCTACACAGTTCTAAACATGTTTCAAAAATAAAAGCTAAAAGCTACGAACTTTTTAAAATTACTGGGTTTTAAAAAGTTACTCCAAAATTCGCTTCAGGATGAAATAGAACTAATGTCTTTAATTTAGTTACAAAATTAAATTCGGGGCTTTTAGCTTCCATTTTTGAAACATGGTTAGAACTGTGTAGCGAAAAAAAACATATTTTAAATAAATCACTTTATAATATATATATATTTATATGTGTGTGTATAGGAAAAATTGTATATATATATATATATATATATATATATATATATATATATATATATATATATATATAATATAAAGTGTACATTGAAGTCAACACTCAGAGGCGACAGTTTGTTTCATGCTAAACGAAATCGCCGGGCATGTGCTATCACCAGACCATGTGCCTAACGACTACGCTGACCGTGAAAACGACTGTCATCTCGGGGTGTTGACTTCAATGTCCACTTTTATATTTACATACGCTCTATCTCTGATATTAAGCTCTTTAACCCCTAAATATAGCATATCTTATTTTAGACATGTATATATAAATATATATTTATAAACATATATATATATATATATATATATATATATATATATATATATATATATATATTCGCTTTTGTCTGGTGTTCTTGTGTGCGCTGAGAGTAGTTCGAAGTAGTTTATTTTGTAAATGTTTTAAATATTTTCTTTAAATTCAGAGTTGAATCCTGATAGAATAACGTATCTGTTTGTTTGTTTCTTTTTATCTATCTATCCCAATCCGTTCATATCTATCTATCTATCTATCTATCTATCTATCTATCTATCTATCTATCTATCTATCTATGCATACTGCATTACTTACGAGTATAATTCTAAGCGAATGCACATTTATAAAGAAAATCTTGGAATGTAATTGAAGAGAAATTAGTTTAAGGTTAAGTCCGTCATTAATATAAAATTGCTAACACGAAAAAGAACAAATTCTTATTTGTGCAATAACAGGTTTTAAACGATGCAATTTATTATCTAGGTTAACAGCAAATGGGTAATCATGCGCGCCTGAAGGCGAGCACACCTAAATGCAAAACGGACATAAATCCCGCTTGAAATTAGTATTTGTAGATTTGCACAAGAAGATTTATTAATATCCTTTCTATGTTTAGATTTACTTAAATTTATAAACGTGACATATATCCATATAAAATTATTATTAAAAAAATACAAATTTTCAAGAATTCAACGTAAATTAAAATATAAACTAATGTAACGCTGGAAAAAAGCATTTGTATATATATATATATATATATATATATATATATATATATATATATATACTAGCAGTAGAGCCCGGTGTTGCCTGGGGGATGGAGCAGTAAGAGATAGATTAAGTATCGACCATCATAAAGACTGAAAAATAAAATTGACAAAGATTATTGTTTAAGGTTGACGGACATGCATGTCTTAAATAGTTTTTTTTTGTTTTATTTTGTTTTTGTTTTTTTTTTTTACGAATTGGTCAAACTCAAACAAATACAATTGTTTTCAATCGGTAAACTCATAACGATACTACCTGTCAAAAATAAAAGTGAAGTTTTGTTGAAATCGGTTGAAAAATGTAAGAAATCCGATCCCATATAAACGAACACGCACGTACACACACACACACACATACACAACCTGGGTTTTATAATAAGTATAACTTGATATGAGTTGTCCCCCTGTCATTCTCGTGATGCCTCTTAATCGTGTTTTCAAATTGATTTCGTGCAAAAAACAATTGTGTTTTTCCAATTTTTGGCGCTGTCAGAACCACCGCAATGTAATTTTACGTAGTACTGTGAAGTTTTGTTGAAATCGGTTGAAAAATGTAGGAAATCCGATCCAATATATAAACGTACAGACACACACACACAACCTGGGTTTTATAATAAGTATGATATATATATATATATATATATATATATATATAAATATATATACTTGTATATATATATATATATATATATATATATATATATATATATATATATATATATATAATATTTTACAAATGAAATATAGCTCTGCTTTCTTTCTTACAGCTCACAGATGTTTCTCGTAAATTTTGATATTCCTTTCGTTTAAAAGGGATGTTAGTTTCAACATTCTTCAAGAGACACTCTTCTTTCGAAAAGACCTTCAAATTATTTATGTTTCCGGGGCACTTCTGATAAATACGATGCCTGAAGATTTGCCATGAATTTCCCATAGTAAATCGGTCACCGAAGCATATCCTCCATCTTTTTGAGCATAACATTTCCGTGTTATTTTCAACTGTCCTCTTCGTGTCATTATCCTGTTCAAAGATTCAGTCCTCTTCAAGGTCCAACTATTACACCAACGATAATAAATTAGATTCGCTGCAACGCTCATGGTCGCTTCGATCAGATGAAGTGTGCCCATAAATTTGAATGATAAGCACTCCCAAAACCACGATAATTTGACCGACTTGATTTACTATTGGATGGTCTTTTTTCTATGGTAGGCGCATCCAGCTTTACTTTGTATACGAGAAGATTGCCTGTGATCCAAAAAATTAAATCTTTATCTCATGGGAATAAAGAACGTTCTTCCTAAAATTATTGTCCTTTATTAAATGCTAAAGAGATCCAGTAGCCTAATGGTTATCGGCTTAGAAACTAGAGTTGGTTAAATAACTGGGTAGATGTAGGGGTTCTAGCCGTGTCTTGCAGACAGTCTCGTAGAGAGACACATCTGAATTGTAAACCTTGGAAACGTTAACAGGAAAGCAACCTATCTTTCACAAGATATTTGGTAATTCACAGATCATAAACGAAGAAGAGCCATGGACGCATATGAGTTGAAGGGACATGGCATTAAAAAAAAATTAGACATTCTAAAAAGTGAATTTCACCCGAAAAAAAAGACGGCTCCATTTTTATTCAGCAAACGTACATAAGTTTATATTATTGTTTTGTAGTTCTTACAAATATTTATCATAGTAACTGATGCTCCATTTGATCTAAAATCACGTTGGAAAACCTTTCATTTCCGATCGGTTTCACTCTGACAATTCTTAGCAATAAACAAGTTGACTGTAAAAGAGTTTTCGTGGAGCGTTAGTTCGTGGAAGGTTTTTGATGGTGCCAAACTTCTCCCACTTCAGAATAATCAATTCAGTCGCATTAAATGGATATTTATCACCTTGATAATAGGCTCATTCATTAAGTTGCTTCATTTCATCATTCTTTTGTGTTTACTTCTTTTTACTTTAATCATGACAGTCTCATTACAAAATGATGGCGAAAAAGTTACAACTCGCATTCCTTTGTAAATAACATTTTTATGAAAATTGTGAATAGTATTAAACTATATTTCCCAACGTTTGTTCATAATTTATTATAAATTTTATGTTAAAAATGTGTATTATTTGATAATTGTTAATTTAATATCAGAATATATCAGTTATGCAAATGCAAATAAATGTAGACTTAATTATACACTTATTATAATAGCATTGTTACCAGATACATAAAGGTGAAACAGGTCGTCCTCTAAAAATAAGGCTGGCGGTACATTGAAAAACCGTAGTGGCCTGTTTGGTTATGGAATGAAAGGGTTAGTCACCAGCCCCTGTGAAATGAAGGGTAAATGCTAGACAAAAACTTGATAGACGTCTAAAAAAATCAGCGCATATGCTAGGGTATGAGGACCTCATTAGTAGGCCTAGCATAGAAATAAATAGAATATGGGAACCGATAACAAAGAAAGAAAGGCAATGTCATCAAATCTTCAACAGGAGCAGCAGCAATCAAAACATGACAGGCAACAGCAACAATAGAACTTGCAGCATTTATCAGCAGTCAGGTTAGGTTTAAGGCTCCAAGTCCACTGCAGTAAATTGGCCTAGTGGATTAAAGCATTGGTTCGTGGATTTTCTGACATAGGGATTATGATCGCTGGGTCAAGCAGAGCTTAATTGGACTCAGTTGAAACGGTCGAGAAATAACTGATCAGCACTATAAATAAGAACTAGACAATATACCTAGATATAACCAGTGGAGCGAGAGCAGCTTACTCCCGAAGATTAAATCAAGGGTTCCGTTCAGAATCCCTGTAGGTTACCCAGATGAATGTAATAATAACACAGATGATGATAACAGTCCGTTTATAAATAGTGTAAATAATAACTCTTCATCCCAGAAATTTAGAAAGACTTAATTTTACGCTAAACTTTAGTAACTCAACACTCCAAGTTTTTTTTTATTTTGTTCAATTCTCTTCTGGCCAGATATTGAACTTATAACTTTTTTGGTGAAGTCAACGCTTTTATCTACTGGGTCATGTGCACGTAGAACTAAAAAAAAATCTACGCCGGTTGACGAAATAAAGGGCTCGGTTCGGAATTCCAGCGTATATCAGCTGAAGAAGGCCGGAGCGTACGTCGCGAATATGACAATGAAGATAAGGAGAATAGTCCAAATAATGTAAATAGTGTTAATAGTTACAATAACTCATCTCAGAAATATAGACATATCCTGAAGAAGGTCGGGACCTACAGTGGCCGAAACGTCGCGAATATGACAAGGAAGAAGAGGACAACAGACCGAACAATGTAGTGTAAATAGTTACAATAACTCATCTCAGAAATATAGACAGATCCTGAAGAAGGCCAGAGCATAAAACGGCCGAAATGTCGTGAATATAACAGTGAAGATAAGGACAGCAGTTCGAACAATGTAAATAGTCATTTTTGTTAGCTTGAAAAAACTGTTTCTTCATTTCAAAAGATTGTTTCAAATGGATCATGAAAGAGTTGTTAGAAACAAGGCTTGGGAAAAACATATTTAAAATAAGAATGTGCACTCTGACTTCACTTGGGAGTTTATTCTGCATTTCAGATTTGAAAATACTTATTTTTATCGTCGTCTGTTTAATATCAGAATATAGTGTCAACAAAAATTCAATGTAAAAAAAATAAGCATTGCAAATCTATAAAATAAATATTTAATAACTGTCGATATACTTATTTTCTGTTACTTTATGTTTTCCTCTTTCTTTCTTTCTTTCTATTCCTGTCAATATTTTAATTAAAAAAACAAAAAAAATAAAATAAAATAAAAAATAAAAGAGAAACACCAGACTACTGATCTTGGCACTGTGGGCTTGCAAGCAAACATTTCTGAGTTTTGGAAAATTTCCAAATGATACGTTCTATAGCTGATCTGATATTGAACTCTCTCAGTATATTAGAACTGATCTAATTTTGCTCTAACTATTTATGATTGTTTGAAGTTAATAAAAAGTCACACAGGATTACTCACTTATTCTTATATAATCAGTCCTAGATATAAGTTTTTTTCTGTCTCTTTTTGCTCAGGAAGCCATGGTGAACTTGAATGCTATAAATGATAGACAGGTTTAACTTTAAAAATGATCAAGTAGTTTTCCGTATCGTAGAATACAAGATTTAGCCAAATTAACACAATTTTTCCCCCCATATTTGGCCTGCTCTTTTGGCACTGACGTCCCTCACCTCACCCCAACATTGAATAAGGCCGACAAAAAAAAAAACAAAAAAAAAAAAACAAAGCACGAGACAAAATTCCTTCTCCATTTTGGTGTATATTCCCAAATATTAAGCAATTTCAAACTGCACACTAAAGAATTTGTTTTCGAGAAGTTTTTTTTATAACGTACGCACTTCCTTTATATAGCCTATTTTTGGCACCAAATGATCCGTTTACGAAATAGCTTTGCTGTACTTTGGGGTGTTGAATCCGTTTTTCTTTTCTCACTGATGATCCGTCCCACCAAAAAGAATTTAAAATTGGGTTAACATCGGTAACTCCATTAATTCGGTATACTTTTTCGATAACTAAGGTTTAAAATGAATTTTTAAAAATGAAAAAAAAATTCTTGCAGATATCCTTTTAGCTTTAACTAGCATCATGGCCCAGGGGTTGCCCGTGATTGATTCAAAAATCGCACGACTCATACAGCAATCGCTATCACCTGACTTAAATATTTTTGCCCCTCCTTGCCTTTAAAGGAGTGCCCTGCGCCGTGCTGATGTTGCTACATGCCTTACTTCTTGCCTACTGCACACTGTGAATTTTTTCTAAGCTCTATACTAAACATTAAATCTGTTACGAAAAAAGAACAAAACAAAATGAACTCAAAACGATCAGCTTTAAAAAAGGACTCGTAACTGAAAGAACCGAGTGAAAAAAAGAATGTTAACAACAAATACTTTTTCACACCCAACCCAGTTCTGCGGAATCAGAATCAACGCTGAGTTCAAGCAAGCGAATGAGCCAATTGGAGTAAAGTGCATTGCAGATTTAAATTTTTCCCACTTGTGACGAATGCAGCTATCCATTTTTTTTGCATGCTAACATGTTAGATAACATTCGTGTCAGTCAGCTGTTGGCTCTCACGCTGGCCAGTAGAATCTTCCTGCCTATTCATGGCTTCCAGCTGTAGGCTCTCACTCTTGCCAGTAGAAAATGGCCGAAAACTACATGAAAACTGCCGTAGAAGCATGAAAAATCAATTATTTCCACTATCGATGGGAGTTGGGAAATGTAAAATCGGTCTTGGCCTTCCCGCTAAATTGAAACGAAAGTGTATGTAAATGTTGGTGCAAATCCGTCGAAAATTGCGGCCGTGCATTCGTTACACACACACGCACATCCTGCCTTTTATAGATAGAGATTTAAAGGTAAATGATTAAATTTACAATTTCCAGTAAGTAAAATATTCTAGTTTATTTCAAACAGAAAATATATAGATCGGAATCTCAAGTTTTTGGCCGATTTCAGAAAATTTTCTTGAGAGCCGCCATTTTCTTAATTTTAATAAATTTGTAAACAAAACAAAATTATCGGTTTTAAAAATATTCCAAAAATAAAATATATATTTGTGAAACATTACTTGAGTAAAATTAGCAAATTTAAAGTTAAGTCAATCTGATTTGAAATAAATATTGCTTACTTATAGCATAAAAAAGTAATATACGAACATTTCTTAACGACGGGTCCTGTCTTTCTTTCATCCTTATTGACGTATCGATAATTTTGAGGTGATGACAGCTAGTATGGATGACCAGAACTGACATAAATTTACGCATTTTTTGTTTTTAATTACCGAGTAATTGTTAGAAATTAACATATTTTCAGCAATTATCTAATATTTTATTGACTTGTGGTTACGTTTGAAGATGCTTTATAAAAAACAAAAAAATAAAATAAAATACTGTAAAATGTTCTTGAATTAATTTTAAAATTTAGTAAAAGATGAAATTAAAATAAAGAAGCAAGAAAATTAACACATTGATCTCTGTTTTTTTTAAAAAAAATAATGTTTAACATTTTCTTTAATCATGAATAGTTAAGAAACCTTAATTAACATTAGCTAAAAAACATTTTTCTATTTTCTTCATAGGCTATATAGTTCAATTTTTTGTTTTAAGAAGAAACGAAAAAGTCAAATGAACTTCTCCACAGGTGTTCGCACGTACAATTCACAAAATATAAAGCCCGTCAACAGCGGGGAACAACGCTTATATAGCAACTCAAACCACGTGACGTTTCAGTGTATTCATGCTGCTTTTGGCCTTCAGTACTTTTGAATTAAAACCGTTTTTATGGACACAAAATCATGCAAAATTAGATTTTTACATACTTTTGTGCTGCAGATTGTAATAAATTTTACAATTTATAATTTGAAAAGTTAGATGTACTTAATAACACTACTGACTAATCTGATCCGCATTTTCACTAATTCTAAAATATGTAACAACTTTAATGTAAAAATAGTAAAATCATTTTAAAATAATAACAAATCATTGTTGTAAAAAAATCATTTTTCATCGAAAATTTTTTGCCTTCAGAAACTATTGCCCATATTCATAAAAACAAATAAAAGCAAATAAAAGCATTTGAAATTTAATAATATCATTGTTTATTGAGTTTTGTATCTTACAATTCCGAGCTGATTTTAGGTAGTTAAGGACTGATTTAAAAAAAAAACAAAAACAAAAAAATACATGATTTACTTTCCTCGAAGCTTTTCACTAATATAATCACTAAATAAGTCAGCTTTGAATTTCTGGAGTTTTCATAAAAATAAATATGAGAGGGGGTAATAAATGCAAAATATGTTTTTACCATGACTTAAGAAAAACATATTTATAATAATTTCCATCATTTCCAAATAGTTTCTGAAAGTTTTATTAAAGTCCTACAGTTATTTTTATTTTTGCAAGATTTTCTAATTTAATGTCATTAAAAATTGCGGTAAAATTTGACATGTTATTTAGTCATGCCCCTGGACGCAAAGTGAAAGAAAATTTTTCTTAATCAAAATTCAGAATGTTCTAAAAAGGATGGAAAATATTAAAAAAAAAAAAAATTAAAAAATACTTTGTTCTTTTCTCTTAATCTTACTTATTATAAAACACAGATTGTGTCTGTGTGTATGTGTGTGTGTGTTTGTGTGTGTATGTGTGTGTATGTGTGTGTCTGTACGTTTATATATTGGATCGGATTTCCTACATTTTTCAACCGATTTCAATAGAACTTTACAGGACTACGTAAAATTACCGTGTGGTAGTTCTGACAGCGCCAAAAATTGGAAAGACACAATTGTTTTTGCACGAAATCAATTTGAAAACATGATTAAGAGGCATCGTGAGAATGAAAGGGGGGCAACTCATATCGAGTTATACTTATTATAAAACCCAGGTTGGTTGGTTGTGTGTGTGTGTGTGTGTGTGTGTGTGTGTGTGTGTGTGTGTGTGTTCGTTTATATATGGATCGGATTTCCTGCCTTTTCAACCGATTTCAACAAAACTTCACTTTTTTGGCAGGTAGTGTTTCTTATTGTCTTGCACACTTTTTCTTTATTTTTACATTCAGAATGCTTTAAAAATTCCATTTACAAGACAATTGTTTATAATAAAATTCTATTCAATCGATAGACTCATAAGGATTAAAAACAATGTTTTTGTTTGATTTTGGGTTTGGCCAATTCGTAAAAAATAAAAAAATAAAAAAACTAATTGAGACATGCATGTCTGTCAACCTTAAACAATAATCTTTGTCAATTTTATTTTTCAGTCTTTATGATGGTCGATACTTGATCTATCTCTTACTGTTACATCCCTGGGCAACGCCGGGCTCTACTCCTAGTAGTAACATAAACATTTTAAGATAAAATGTTGGTTTCGTCAAGTTTCAGGTGTTTTTTATAATGCTATGCTCATTTTCCAGCGATCTCATGACGTTGCATAATTTTGCGGCTAAATTTAAGCTCATTCCGTGAATTTTATCAGTTTTTCTCGACGTAAACGTCTCTTTTATAATTAATAATTTGATAGTTTTATTTAATCCTTCTCTTAAGTACAAACAAGATTAATACAGTTACAATACAATTTATTTTTTAATCATTTCATATCAAAGCGAAAATCCCACTAAGAGAAAGGAGTTATTGAGGGTAAAAGAGAATGAGAAGACTTTAGTGACGAGAAAGGATAAAATTCTAGAAAGCAGGAATGTGTGAAATCGGAATAGCGTTTCACAAGTCAGAAGTGCGAGAAAAAGAAATTAGAATACAACATATGGTTGGCAGAACCGGGCAACTAAGCTAATTGAAAAGGAACTTAAATCGAGCTAATTCAAAGGTAAATCGATGTAACAAAATTGATCATCTAGTTTATACGGTTAAACTGGGGGGGGGGGTAATTCTGCACAAGTCCAAGAACAAGGTGCTAGTTATTCTTTGAAATTCTACATGACAAAACTCCGAAAATAGGGGCCATGTGTGTGAAAGAAGAGTCTAATGTCAGTGCAAATCTCTTTTGTCGATATGGGGAAAGCGGGCGTGAATTCATGTCTTCCACCAAAGAAACATTTCTTTATGTGAATCATGGCTCTCTCCATCTTCCTGTATTTTGTGAACCTTTGTCAGGTTTAACCATTTACCAATCATCTTTTTCATTGTTTTGTAGTATGCCCGAATTTTTCCACTCGGACCTATTTCAATATGTCATGTATGTGTTCAATTTTCTCATTATATATTAACAAAAAAAAAAGTTATGTCTTTCTGAATATAAAGAATATAACGCAAAATTTGAACTCAGTTCCACATTTTTGGTTTTGCCCTGCATATCATTATGCCATTCTGCGCTTCATCTCATTGAACTATTAAAAAAAACCATCATATCTCGTGGTTGCATTACGCGGATTTCATAGAACCAAATCTCGTCGACTTGGAACCTCAGATCTCTTTGCCACCAGACTGACATTCTTCCCAGTACGACGGTATGTTCTTTTGAACATAACTGAAGTGAAGATGACATTTTATCAACAGAATTAAATGGAGTTAATGACGTCTGATTAGATCACGAAACAATTGGTGAGAATCGGAACCGACTTAGAGAGACAATCGATTTGAAGAGGATTTTATCAATCACCTTTTGTAAACTACATTTGCTGATATTACATGTCAAGATCAATATTTTGCATTTTTAAAAAGAAAAAAAAATTCCCTGGGTAGACAAACTGAAAATAATCTTCAGTAATCGAATAAGAAAGAAGTACACATTCCGAGATTAATTTGTCTATTGTAATCTGTTCATATCTATCTATCTATCTATCTATCTATCTATCTATCTATCTATCTATCTATCTCATACTGTTCATACAAATTATCTATCTATCTATATCTATCTATCTATCTATCTATCTATCTATCTATCTATCTATCTCAGTCTATTCATATATATATATATATATATATATATATATATATATTCATATCTATCTATCATTCTGTTCATAACTATCTAATACTGTTAATACTGTTCATATCTATCTATCTATCTATCTATCTATCTATCTATCTATCTATCTATCTCTGTCTATCCATATCTATCTATCCTTTTATCTATCAATCTCAGTCTATTCATATCTATCCTTCTATCTATCAATCTCAGTCTATTCGTATCTATCTATCTATCTGTCTATCTATCTATCTCTGTCTATTCATATCTATCTATCCTTTTATCTATCAATCTCAGTCTATTCATATCTATCCTTCTATCTATCAATCTCAGTCTATTCGTATCTATCTATCTATCTGTCTATCTGTCTATCTCAGTCTATGCATATATATATATATATATATATATATATATATATATTCATTATATATCTATCTATCTATCTATCTATAATTCTGTTTATATCTATCTATCTATCTATCTATCTATCTGTCTATCTATCTATCATTCTGTTCATATCTAATTCTGTTCATATCTATCTATCTATCTATCTATCTATCTATCTATCTATCTATCTATCTCAGTCAGTTCCAATCCCATTCGACCTTGTTCTTATTTTTATCGCTTTTAGCAATCTATTTCAGCATCTTTATAAATTCCCCGATCAGAACTGTCGTGGAGATGACAACGTTGACTTTTCGCTACACGAAGCATTTTCCCTTACTTTCCCTCCAATATTCTTTTCACTCATCCGTCTTTCAACATTCAAGTTCTTTTGCATTTCCCTTCGTCTTTTTCCCCTTTCCATTATGTCCACTTTAATTCGCCGTATCTACTTAAGACGATTTTCAACCCCCATCTCCCCTATGTCATCTTTCTCCTGATTACTGGACAAATCAAAAATATTTTCATATCATTTTACACACGTCTCTGCATCTTTGCGTGAAAAAAAACAAACTAAATGCCCTGCGAGAAACGAGCACCTTCTAACGTTTCGCCTCAGACGAAACAAGAAAATACTTAAAGTTGTCTGATATTTTGGGTAGAAAGAAAAAATCTCTCTTTTTTTTTTGTAGCTATTTATATAACTATTTGGTTTCCCAAAGCTTATTCTGTGAATTTGCTGCAAGCTAATTCGATTCGTTTGGAAATCTAAGTCTTTGATTTTCGACTATGTTCACTATGGTTAAATTATATCGCTTTAAATAACATTATCGTTTATTTAGGACGTGTTCACTTTAACTCAACGTACCTTGCTAAAAAAAAAAACAAACAAAAAACCCCCAGAATATTTACTAGATTTTAAATTAAAAGGGTACAAAGCTAATTGTAATTAGGAAGATTGGGTAGTGTCATGATTTAAACTAAGAAATAGAAAATTTAACTTTATTAAAACTGTCCTTCAATTATTATTTTAAAAGAATATTATCTTGATTAAAATTATTTCCTCATTTCTTCAAATTTTAAAACATTAAAACCTAAAAAATAGTTTTTATTCATAAATTACTATTATAAATATGCATAATTTTATTAAAATATTTATTTTCTCCATGTTGGGAAAGATTCTTCTTGATCCCGGCACTGGGTGAAAATGTCTTTTTGATAAACTGCTATTTATTTGTGGGAGGTACTAACTTTCCACAAAGGCAGACCGAGCGAATTTATAAATAAGACTGCAATCTACAATCGAAAATCATTAGTTGATCAAAAGAGAGGGAGAGAGGGAAATATAGAAAGAGAATGTATGTGTGAGAAAGAGAGTGTGTCTGTGCAAGAGAGGGAAAGAGAGAGAGAGAGTGAGAGAAAGAGAGAGAGAAAGAGAGAGAGAAAGAGTTTTTGCCTGTTTGTGAGATAGGTGTATGTTTTATAATGGTCGTCTAATCTCGTAGTTCTGTTTAATTATATTCCAAGGAAAACACCGGAACAAAAGATTAGCAAAGAAACTGTTTAATCCCAAGGATTAATAATAAAATAAATCCCATGGATTAATAATACAATAATAGCGATTACAGTAGTTAGTGCAGTAACGCGAACGACACATTTTGCGATAATTGGTCCTTTGAGCTGACGTTCATCTGAAACTGAATGAAAGAGTCTATGTTCAACAAATTAGTGTAGCAATAGGTCGGTCGTGTTTTTGCACAACAATATGTATTTGTGTGTACGTGTGAGTGAGAGAAATAGAGAGAGAGAGTAAGTAAAGAGAGAGAGAGTGTGTGTGTGTGTGTGTGTATGTGTATGTGTGCGTGAGAGAGTTTTGTGTTTTGCATTTCCCTCGCTCGACTGGAAAAGGGACGAATTCATTTCACCCTATCTCTTGTTATGGTTAAATAACATGGTACTTAATGCTCTTCCGTCATGCGAGGCTGTCTACATGCGTCATCTAGTTAGCATAATAAAATATTACAATACTTTAGTAGATGACTAGATCTCTATAGTTTATTCGAGAAACAGTGAGAAAAATCATTGACTTGTGTGTTCTGTGATTCAGGAATCAATTTTCATCTATCAGTTTTTAAAGGGAAATCAATCATAAATCAATAAATCTGAAATGTTTGTTTTAAGAGAACATCTGGTTCAGCTCACAGTTTCTGATCAGATCAAATTACGACAAAACACATTGTTCCTTCATTTCCTCATTCTTATCTATTTCCCTTGTTTTTCTTCATTCTTTCCTTCCATTCTTTCCTTTAGAATTTCTTATTATTTTTTCTCTTTCATTTCTTATCTTTTTCCCTTGTTTTTCTTCATTCCTTCCTGCCATTCTTTCCTTTAGAATTTCTTGTGACATTTTCTCTTTCATTTCTTTTGTTTTTAAATTTCTTCCTGCTTTCTGCCTCCGTCTTTTCACTTTTTCTTTCTTTTTCGCACAAATACGTTGATCTTTCTATCTTCTCTACAGACTTTCAGTCGTTCTTTATGCTTCGATCATTCATAAATTTTCTGCTTCCTTTTTTGTTTTTTAGTGACCAATTATCTCCCTTGTATTAGAAACTACTGACTCATGTTCTAACTCCCGATTTGCAACTAGGTAAATTAATGCACATCGAAAAATAAAATAAAAAAACAATATCTGAATCCAACCGAAATCAACCACACCCAACTGATTTTCACTCGTTATCAAACCGATCGCTTTGGTAAGCATAAAACCTTTTATTTTATTTTCATTACTGATGCCACATGGAGTTTCGGATGACAAAACAGTTAAAGACCTTATGAAAACATTCAGCGAATTTAGTTTAAAATTCGGCCAAGAATAGTGTGTCATATTTTTCAGTTACCTTTGGGAAAGGCATGACTCTAGTTCGACCACAAAGTACTAGGATGGTGGGAGAACTTAACCCTATAAGGGAGTTTATTTTGGGGTATAGTCTAATAAAATGATCTCGTAAATCTTCACTTTTTACTGAAATCTTTGGAGCATTGGTGTGGTTCTCCAAGAGGTCTGAAGTAGAATTTTTACTCCACTCCTATCAGCATCAGGAGAGTGACTCGTTATGTCTTCTCGAGCTAACATTCCCTTTTGTAGTAGAAAGATTACATTGAATCCATTGCTAGGTTTGCTGATGGAAATGTGGTTTCACTGTGTTCTTATTGATAATGTTTCACTCCAGAATGTTTCTGTCGCATTTATAAGTCTACTGTTATGATTCCTGATGATGATGATGATGATGATGATGATGATGATGATGATGATCATATTTCCTCATTCTAGAAATAAAGATCTACAACGTCATCATTCTAAAAACGACCTTTCCACCAGAAGCAAAAGTAGCAGTAGTAAAAAGAACAACACAGATATATCTTCTTCGCTCCGTAAAAATCCAGAGTTGACGGTTTCAAAGGCTTCCCTTAACCACGAATTTCTGGGAACAGTTATAAACAAGTAAGTCTCAAAATTTTAAAGAAACAAAAAAAAGAATAACCCTAAGAACATTCAACACACACAAAACGAATACTGCAAATAAAATCGTTAATAGAAAAATACACATTCTTATCATTAATTTCAAAACGTGTCTCATTGTTTTATGTTATTGCTGTACGTTTTAATAATTTCATTTTCGGTATAAAAAGAGAAAAGGAATCCTCTATCAACTACAAATACATGTAACACGGGATAACTTACATTAACAATTCGTCCATGCCTTGAATATTAGTGCCGTATATGGTCTGGTGCACAATCAGCAATATTATAAGTCCTGACCTGGTATCTCGGCTTCAGTTACTTTGTCACCGCCGTAACGTGCCTTTCCTTCCATAAATAATTCTACATAAATAATTTCCGCAATGGCACCTACACATGATGAATTTAAGAGCTGTACTAGATTGGCAGCAAGATCTCATCAGTTCACAGTTGAATTGGCTAGATGCAACCGTAAGTTCTATGCTAGCAGTTTCTTTTCCCGCACTTCTCGCTTGTGGAATTCTCTTCTGGCTCTATGCTTTCCATCAACCTTTGATCTTCAAAAAATTAAATGCATTGTCAATCGTCTTCTTGGTTACTCATCTTCTATAGCCACCACCCCTAAATAATGTTTCTCTTTTTTTTTTTTTTCTTATTCTTTCGCCTTCAGTAACCCCTTGTGCTTTAGTGGCTTTTCTACCTTGCATGGGGTGAAATGATAAAAAAATTATAATTCTAGGGAATTGTTTTACCGCTCTTCTTTCCTACAGTGGCGGTTAAACAAAATCGAGCTATTATTAATGCAATACAATAGTGCGACAAAAAGCAATTTCGACGACATGAATGAACAAGCTGACAATCCCTGGTAATGAAATATGCTGTTCTCATTTTTGTGTAAATTATGAATAAACCGCATTTTTGATATTTATTGAAATGGTGCTATCTTACGTTCTTGTATTCCCAAGCTTTATTAAAAAACTAGCAGCATGTCCCGGCGTTGCCGGAATTGATTTAAAAATCATACCACTCATACAGCAATCGCTATCACTTGACTTAAAGGTGTGCCCTTTGCCGTGCTGATGTTGCTATATGCCTTACTTCTTGCCTATCTCACACTGCGAATTTTTTCTAAGCTCTATACTAAACATTAAATCTGTTACGAAAAAAGAACTAAACAAAACGTTGAGTTTAAGCAAGCGAATGAGCCAATTGGAGTAAAGTGCCATGCAGATTTCAATTTTTCCCACTTGTGACGAATGCAGCTATCGATTTTTTTTTACATGTTAGCATGCTAGTTAACATTCGTGTCAGTCAGCTATTGACTCTCACGCTGGCCAATAGAATCTTCCTGGCTATTCGTGGCAGCCAGCTATAGGATCTCACTCTGTCCAGTAGAAAATGACACACACACACACACACACACACACACAAACACACACACACACACACACACACATCCTGCGTTTTATATATAGAGATTCTATATCTAACAGAAATAATTCTCTTAATTTTTGACGAGTTTTTCTTTCATCTTAATCATACTTGACTGGCATTTTTTAAAGCAAACCGGGAAGCTACTAGCACACAAGGGGTTACAGAGAGTTGGAGCGAGAGCAAAGAGGAGTGATAGAGGAATAGATGAATGAGAAGGTTAGGGGATAGATCAATGCATCTGGAGACGTCGATTGACATTACGTTTGATTATTTGGAGATTATTCCTATCAGGGAAACAAAAAAAAGGGGGAGGGAGTGCCACGGGTGAGAAGTGCGAGACATGAAGCTGTTGGAGCAGAAGAGACGGTGGTTACATTTAACAGTTTCAACAGTGAAAGGGTGAGAGCGAGATGCCAGCCTAGTTGAACGTTTAAATTCATGAAGTTTGAGAACCAGCGAAAGCAGCTCATCGGATCATTTACCATGACAATATTTGTAAAAAACACAGAGGGAGGCGACAGCACGTCTGCGAGAGAGCGACTGCATATGAAATGCCAGATCAGGGCCAATTACATTGCATATCCGTCTCTGGATCTTATCAAGAACTTTGAGACAAACAGAAGGGGTACCGGACCATATATGGTAGCAATACTCCATGCAAGGGCGAATGGTTGATTTGTAGATTTGAAGGATCGACTCTGTCGAGAAAAATTTCCTGGCGCGGCAAAGGCAGCCAACATTCCTTGCGGTGGATGAAGCTATTGACTCAATGTATTTGTTCCTTCTCAGGTCAGCAGACGATATGTGACCGAGCAGTCGCAAAGAGGTGCTCTCGTGGAGTTGAGCGTCAGACATTCTAATGGGAGTCAGGGATGGTTCTCTGTGGTGAGTAATAGAAAGCTGTTTTGTTTTTGAGGCATTAAAGTTAACCAGCCAATTCCTGCCTCAGTCCACAGCCGATTGGAGGTCCTTTTCGAGACAGACGGCCTGATTAGTTTTGTCGGCGACACTAGATTTGTTTTTGAGGCAAGAGTAAATAGTAGTGTCGTCCGCATAGATGCCTACTTGGGAATCTATGACATCAGGAAGATCGTTATATCATTAGTAGTAGTTTTATTACATTGAACTATTATTAAAAGACATATTTTTCAAATATTATGAAAGTATATTTTCTTGATAATTTTAATTGTTTATTTATCGTAATAACTCAGATCCTCAGTTTAACGTCATTACTTCCAGTTTTGTCTTGTTTTATTTTTTTAGTCAATCCACCCCCGAGAAAGGTGATAATACCACTAAGAAGCAAAGAAGGTAATGAGTATAAAAATAAATGAAAACACTTTAGAAGGAACCGGAAACCCAATCCTAAACAGGAAACAAGGCATAAATCTCTACTTCCGTTTAAAAAACCGGGAAGGAATTTGAACCGGATGATAAGCGAACCTTTCTACTCCTAATATTGTCAGCCATTATTAATTTTGAACTGCATTTCTTTCATTTGCATTTCATTTACATTTCCGTGTAACTACGCCACTTAATGGCAATGGTTAGTAAAGCTAGTAGCATTATTTCCTAAGTTTTCTTTTTATTAGTTCAACTTTTGTCAACTATTATTAATTCAAATTCGTATTTTTAATGTAATTGTTGTCCCTTTTTTTTTTTAAACTTCCAGAATTTATTACAGTGTAACCCGGATATAAGAGACCCGGATATAAGAGAAACCCGGATATAAGAGAGATTTTCTCTGATCCCAAATTAGAGCCATACTTACAAAAACAAAATAGACCAAACCTGGATATAAGAGAAACCCGGATATAAGAGATTTCTCCGGTCCCGACAACTCTCTTATATCCGGGTTACACTGTATTTTTGATTCCAGTCAAATGTTATTTCTCGAAGATTTCTTCATCTTTTTTTTTGTTTTTTTTTTCTATTTTCTTTCTTTTCATTCATTCTTTTCTCTTGATTTTTTTTCTTTCTTTATTGGTTTTTCTTTTCTTCTAATTGTTTTCTGTTTTCTCCGATTCTTTTTTTTCTCGTCATCTGTTCTTGCCAAATTGTTTCTATTCTTCATTTACAGTGTTTCTTTTTACTGTATTTTTCTTTACTTTCACCCATGAAGTTCATTGATTTCATTTCCTTTTTTTTTTCTAGTTTACCTTTCATTTATTTTTCATCATATAACGACGACAAGGACGTTATAAATTCTACGACCATTATGTGACTAGCACGAATTGAAAATAAACAATTAGCTTCTTACGAGATTTAAATTCGCATTCCAAATCTCTTGGAACCCGTCCTGAGCGAAGCCTTACTGATTTGACAAAACAGTCAGCATCATCAGTCTTGTTTTTTTCTCGTCTTCTAGATTCAAATATGGATGCCATGCGTAATGTCGAAATAGTTAAAAAAAATGTCTAATTTATCAGCTATACACAAGTTTTCTCAGTTCAATGGTTACAAATGGCTTCAAGCGAATGCATCATCTACATCTTAAAGAAGAAAATACTTCATCACTTCTTGCAAGCTGCCGTTATAGAATCA